GTATGTGCAGCTTTGTATGTCTGTTGGGGAAAAGGGAAGAATTCCTGTGTGATGCCTTCTACTTTCTCAAAGATGTGAATGGCAAGGTGTGCCACAAGTGGGGTCATGAGAAGGTTAAAGTTTGCAGAGAGTGCAAAGGAATTGAAATAGTTGATACTAAGAGTGAAATTGATGAGTAAAAAAAAAAAAAAAACTGCATTAAAATTGCCAGCTGGTTTTGAGGGCCCGGTTGAGATTGGTGATGTACATGTGTAATAAAACTAATATGCACCATTGTTTGACTTCTCAGTCAACATTTGGCCACTTCAGTGCTGGCTGAAAGAAAGTAGGTAATTGGTTCATTTGAAGCTGTGGTTTTGTCTGTTGAGCATACAAGATAGAAGGATGGGAGACTAGGGTACCAGGAAAATTCTTGATGAAGTGCTAGACTGGGAATCTAATCCAGATAGGAAGGAAAATGCCACAAATGGATTCTTTTCCCTGTTGGAACCCACACATTTTTTCTTATGAACCTTATTCCCATCAAGAGCTGCGAAAGGTCTGGAACTTTTACCTACTTACGGGCTAATAAATTAACCTATTACTGTTTCACACATGCTGGTAGAAGACATGAGACTCCTTGGTCAGAGACAAAGGACTTTTTAAAAAGATTTGTTTGTTTATTTCAAAGGCAGAGAGATCCATCTTCCATCTGCTGGTTCACTCCCCAAATGCCCACAACCAACTAGGCCAAGCTATGACCCAGGAATTCCATCTCAGTCTCCCATATGGGTGGGAAGATCCCCAAGTACTTGGGCCTGCCTCCCAGGCTCATTTGCAGGAAGCCAAATTGGAAGTGTGAAGTAGCTGGGACTTGAATCAGGCATTCCGATGTGGGATGTGGGTGTCCCAAGCAGTGGCTTAATCTACTGTACCATAATGCCCACCTTACAAAGGATTTTGTGACTTAGAACACAGCAAGTAGCATGGCACATGCTGGTTTGTGTTGATTCTTCCAGCTCCTCACTTGCCACACGGGTGACACAGGTGGGTATAGATGAATACTGTACAAGTATTGGGTTTACATCACAGCCCGGAAATACTGAGTTTGGGTAATGGAGTAAGCAGAATGAAACCTGCTCTTTGTCTTTTGAGGAGACATTGTCTCATTCCTCAATGTTACTTGTAGAAAATATCACCTTGAGAGATGAGCCCAGTGAAAGGGACTAAGGCCTTGAATTACTGTTGTGCTCAGCAAGAAGGTGCAGTAGTGCTCAGGCTCCCTGGCAGATTGTTTCTCTCTCTTTTTTTTTTTTTTTTTTTTTAATCTTTTATTTAATGAATATAAATTTCCAAAGTACGTCTCATGGGTTACAATGGCTTTCCCCCCCATACCGTCCCTCCCACCCACCACCCTCCCCTTTCCCACTCCCTCTCCCCTTCCATTCACATCAAGATTCATTTTCGATTATCTTAGTATACAGAAGATCAGCTTATTATACCTTAAGTAAGGATTTCAACAGTTTGTTCCCACACAGAAACATAAAGTGAAAAATAATAGATGATTTTTTTTTAAATGATGATGAAATCAGATCAGACCTATTGTCATGTTTAATCCCAGTGAGAGTCAAGTTGGGAATTGATAGTTTCTTTCTAGGTCTTCAAAGAGGGAGGTGCCTTTCTCTGAAGGGAGGAGAGAACCTCCACTTTGACTATGACCTTGTCTAAACAAGATAAGAGTCGGAGAACTCAAGGGGCTTCCATAGCCTTGGAAACTCATGACTGGTGCATAGGGAGATTACTGATGCCATAAACAGGAGTGTCAATTTGTAAAGTCAACAACAGGAGTCACTGTGCACTTACTCCTCATGTAGGATCTCTGTCCTTAATGTGCTGTACACTGAGGCTTAATGCTATAACGAGTACTCAAACAGTATATTTCACTTTGTGTTTCTATGGGGGTGCAAACTGTTGAAATCTTTACTTAATGTACACTAAACTGATTGTTTCTCTTAATCGTCCCCCATCCACCAGGTGGAGTGGCGAGGGAACTGCTTTTTCTGTTTGGGGTTTCTATTCGTGGAAGCTGCATTCTGTGGGGCACTCAGCCTGGAAAGTTTCATTCATTTGTTGCAGATCATTGTCTGTCTCAAGTAACTTGCAGCAGATAGCTCCCATTTTAGAGGGTCATCTATATATGGATGTGGTTTTGGGGTGGGACAGAGGTAGGTGGGGTGACAGATGGTTTTGAATGTGCTTTGAAGTTCTGAGACCCTGTCAACCCCTTTGATACTCCTTTCTAGTATACTGGCAACTCAGCAGGAGAGACTTTAAGGCCGGCGCCGTGGCTCACTAGGCTAATCCTCTGCCTTGCAGCACCGGCACACTGGGTTCTAGTCCCGGTCGGGGCGCCGGATTCTGTCCCGGTTGCCCCTCTTCCAGGCCAGCTCTCTGCTGTGGCCAGGGAGTGCAGTGGAGGATGGCCCAAGTGCTAGGGCCCTGCACCCTATGGGAGACCATGATAAATATCTGGCTCCTGCCATTGGATCAGCGCGGTGCGCCGGCTGCAGCGCTCTGGCCGCGGCGGCCATTGGAGGGTGAACCAACGGCAAAGGAAGACCTTTCTCTCTGTCTCTCTCTCTCTCACTGTCTACTCTGCCTGTCAAAAACAATCAGGGTCTGTAGGATCTGAGGATCTAAGATATCCCAGGTATGGTTCAGCAAGGGCAATAGGGTTGCAACTCCAGAGATTCTGCATACTGCTTATTGTCAATTTGGCAAAAGGAAAAAAATATTTAGGAAGATAGAAATTTTCAATTTGTAGAGAGGCCACAATATTAAACTAGAAGTGGAATGTTAGAATGATTTCAGTTCTTCTCAGACTGCTTTATACTTAGGTGCCATTCCAGTCAATCCCAACAGATTTATTTTTTAATTTGACAAAATAAGTTTAAACTTAATTCTGAAAGAGTAAGTAGATTTCTTTGTGCTGTAGTTGATATGAGTGGAGGATAGGTGCCAGAAACAAATTCTTTCTATGGGAAATCAAATTCTCTTTTGAGTTGGACTTGGGATGGTCATTTTGGGATACATCATTGATCCAAGGAAATATAAATTGGGTTCTTATGCTTGAAGAAGCAGAGAAAGTCACTCCTTAGAAAGAGGAAAGGCCGGTGCCGCAGCTCACTAGGCTAATTCTCCGCCTAGCGGTGCCGGCACACCAGGTTCTAGTCCTGGTCGGGGCACCAGATTCTGTCCCGGTTGCCCCTCTTCCAGGCCAGCTCTCTGCTGTGGCCAGGGAGTGCAGTGGAGGATGGCCCAAGTGCTTGGGCCCTGCACCCCATGGGAGACCAGGAGAAGCACCTGGCTCCTGCCATTGGATCAGCGCGGTGCGCTGGCTGCAGCGCTCCGGCCGCGGCGGCCATTGGAGGGTGAACCAACTGCAAAGGAAGACCTTTCTCTCTGTCTCTGTCACTGTCCACTCTGTCTGTCAAAAAATAAAAATAAAAAAAAATAATAAAAAAAGAAAGAGGAAAAACAGCAGATGTGGAGAGAGAAAGATATGGAAGAGCTAGCTAGAGAGTCCTGTTGCTTCTCGTTCCTGGTCTCTCCCAGAGGTAGCACTCTTACTGCTTTTGGCTCTGTTTTATCCCAGCATTGGAATGAATTTTCTTTTATTTCTCAAGCTATTTCAGGTTTATTTACTGGAGACCAAAGTATCTTGGAGGCTAGGAATATAGCAAAGGATAAAGCAAACAAAGACTCTGCCTCAAGGAGCTTAGATTTTACCAAAAGAAAATAGATCACAAAAAAGTCAATACAGGCTACATGGTATTGGGTCTTATTGTGAAAAATAAGACAGGGTTAGGGGCCAAGAAGAAGAGAGTGGTTGGGTGCATGTGTGTTGGCAGTGATGGGCTCTCTGAGAAGGGAACAGCTGAGCAGATGTAAGGGAGCAAGTGATGATGGTCCAGGCAGAGGGAAGGTCAAGTGTTGAGGACACAGGGCTGGAGCCTGTTCAGTGTATTCAAGGAACTTCAAGAAAGCTTTCAAGTGGCTGGGGCAAGGTGAGCGACGGAGGGAAATGAGGTCAGAAGCATGAAGGGACTCTCACTCTCTCCCCACGGTCCACCTGTGTGTGTGTGTGTGTGTGGGTGTGTGTGTGGTGGTGGGTGTGGGTGTGTTTACGAGAGGTAGAGATTGTGTCTACAGGTCAAGATAAAGAGTTCAGTCTATTGGAGTACTCGGAGCAGAAGAGATGTACCTTTAAAGGGCTCACTAGTTCCTGTAGTTAGACTAGACTCGAGAGTGGTCAGAGGCATCTCTCACATCATCACGTGAGAGATGATGTTGGCTTGGACTGAGGTGGCAGAAGTGGAGTTAATCAAAATTAGATCTTAAATCATTAAATCACTTTTAAGGAATAATTGACATGATTTGCCAGTAGATTAGATGGGGAAGGTATGAAAGAAATAGAAATTAAGGGTGACGCCTAGAGGCCAACACTGTGGCGTAGTAGGTAAAGCTGTCACTTGTGACTCAGACATCCCTATGGGCACCGATTCGAGTCGTGGCTACTCCACTTCTGATCCAGCTCCCTACTAATGGCCTGGGAAAACAGTGGAAGATGGCTGAAGCGCTTGGACCCCTGTACCCATGTGCGAGACCCTGAAGAAGTTCCTGGCTCCTGGTTTCTGTCTTGCCTAGGCCTGTCTGTTGTGGCCATAAGGGAGTGGACCAGCATATGAAAGATTTCTCTTTTTGTCTCTCTGTAAATTGGCCTTTCAAATAAAAAATAAATAAATAAAAATAAAAAAAAATTAAAAAAAAAACCCAAACCCTTCAGTGAATAATCCAGATCTTGATTTACTAAACAACTTGAACTTCCAGTCATAATTGGGTATCTCATTTTCAGAAGGACTCAAAAAGAAGTAGTATTTCAGTATTTTTAAAAGCAGATTAAGATGTAAATGGAAAACAATCAAAATCTCTGCCTCTGTCTCCCTCTCTCTCTCACTCAGTTTTACTTGTTAGTGGTGAAGTAACAGATTCAAGGATGAGTGAACTGGAACAGTTGAGGCAGGAAGCAGAACAGCTGCGGAATCAGATCCAGGTAAGAACTTTTTCATCTTGAAATGTTTACACTTGTATTTATTATCAGCAATGTACAACATTTGCTTATTAGTTTATCAATGTACATATAATAAATAATTTTAAGGCCAGAAAAGGTCGATTTGTCTTTATTATGCCTTTAAGTAACTCTCCAAAAATCAGTCATAATGAATTCCTGTATGGATGAATGGCTCCCGTGTTCCTGGAAAGTTAGGAGTATCTGTAGTCACAGCTGAAATACAAACAATCCTTTCCCTACTCACTCCCCTAGAATCATAGATTTTGGGAGCAATACAACAAGGCAGATGTTCTATTGTTATATACTAGGAAAGTACAAATCTCTAAAATGCTCAATTACAGAAACATTAAAATTAGTGGCAAAATCAAGATGTGTCTGACATGTTTTACCCTTGGAAATCAACTCAAAATAGTAAAGAGGATGGGAGGCCGGCGCCGTGGCTCAATAGGCTAATCCTCTGCCTTGCAGCACCAGCACACCGGGTTCTAGTCCCGGTCGGGGCGCCGGATTCTGTCCCAGTTGCCCCTCTTCCAGCCAGCTCTCTGCTGTGGCCTGGGAGTGCAGTGGAGGATGGCCCAAGTGCTTGGGCCCTGCACCCCATGGGAGACCAGGAGAAGCACCTGGCTCCTGCCATTGGATCAGCGCGGTGTGCCGGCCGCAGCGCACCGGCCGCGGTGGCCATTGGAGGGTGAACCAATGGCAAAGGAAGACCTTTCTGTCTGTCTCTCTCACTGTCCACTCTGCCTGTCAAAAAGGATGGGAAACAAATACCAGCCCCAGCTCCAGCCAAATTAAGTCACTTAGAACTTCACACCATAACAGGATGGGGAAGAGCTGCCAAATGCACGGATGCAACAGCCTGTGGGAAGGTGCCTGCAGCTGCAAGTCTCATGCAAAGTAGGGAGCACTGTGGAAGGGCCAAGCCAACCAGCGCTTCTTTGGAACCACGGAACAGATGCTTCCTTGAGCTCTGTTGGCACTGAAGAAGGCGGTGCTAAGAGTGGAAGGATACAGACTTGCCATCTTGTAGGCAGCCTCTTGGTGAGCAGGGTGCAGGAAAGAGACTGGATTGTGGGTAGCCTGGAAGCCGTCTACTTCTTCGTGCAGGGAAAAGTAAAAGCTAAAAACACTTACACACACACATGAAGAACCTTAGCACAAAGCATGGAGAATCTCTGATAACTTTCAAGACTGCTTTGACCCTTTCCAGTGTGACCCTTTTACAGGAGCTCTTTCAGAAGAATTTGTTTAAGTGCAGAATGAAATCTTTGCAGAGAGATTACAATTAAAAAAAGGTGAAGGGGAGACAGTAAAAACAACGGATGGATGAAGAATACTCACCAGGAAGTTGTTGGTTCTGAGCAGAGTGAAGTCGTAACCAGACCTATTGCCAAGATTTTAAGGAAGTCAATGATTAAGATAGGAATAAGTTCTAAATGTTACATTTTCATCTGTAAAATTCTCAGGAAGCATGGGTGAAAATCTTCATGACCTTGACTTAGGTAAAAGTTAAATATGACCAGAAGTACAAGCAACAAAAGAAAAAAAAATCAATAAATTGGACTTCACCATCATTTAAAACTTGCGTGTCAAAGGGCATTAACAAAATGAAGAGACAGCCCACAGAACAAGAGAAAATATTTGCAAATCACACTTCTAATAAGGACCTAGAATCCAGAATATATAAAGAACTCCTACAATTGAACAATAAAGACAACTCAATTTTAACTTAAATGTTGTCATAGGCTTTGTGTAGACATTTCTCCAAAGAAGATACATTTATGAGAGTACTTAGAAAGTTTGTGGAAAAACATAATTAGCATATAGTTTACATGTAAAGTTTTTTGAAATGCTTGTATATGACCATCAGACTCATGAAAAGGTACCCAATTTAATCATTAAGGAAATACATACAAGTCAAAACTGTAATGAAGTGTTACTTCCACTGTGATGGCTTTCATAATAATTCAAGAGGACAATTACGAGTATTGGTGAGGATGCAAAGGAGCTGGAACCCTGCTATCTTGCTGATATCCCTGAAAAATGGTGCTGCTATGGAGCAACAGACAGATCAGAGCTACCATGCAACCCCCTAGTTCTGCTCCTGCGCATGTGAGGGGTCTTTCAAAAGTTCCTGGAAGCTTTTATGGAAAACCAATGTGTGGATTTTAACTTACCTTTTAATTCCATTTTCCTACAACCTTTTGAAGTACCCAGGATACCCAAAAGAATTGAAAACAGAGATACACAAAACTGTATGTAAATGTTCATAATAGCCAAACAATGGATTAACTCAACGGTCCATCAGTTTTAATGAATAGATAGACAGGATATGCTGTATAATAAAATGGAATATTATTTTGTCATAAGGGAATGAAGAGGCACTGATACACGCTGGAACAGGACTGGACCTTGAAAGATCGTGCATCGTGAAAGAAGCGGTCCTAAAAGTCCTCACATTGTGTGACTCCATTTTTATGAAGTGCAAATCCCAGAAAAGAACATGAATCAGTGATTGCCAGGCTGGGGGATGGGGCCAGTGGGAGGCAGAGGAAAGAGGATTTGGGGTGTGTATGGCTTATTTCTTAGGGCGATGGGAATGTTCTGAAATTAGATAAAGGTGCTGGTTGTACACCGTTAGAAATATATTAAAAATCACTGAGTTATATGCCCTACAATGGTCAATTTTATGTTATGGGAATTTTATTTCAATAAAATGTTAACGATTATATGGCAGGGTAAAATGTTTATTTGTAAGTCTACATTTTTAATGAAAATATTTTAATCATATCTGCATATTCCATATCTAAATGTGTTGTAACTGTCTTTCTCTACTTTAGGATGCTAGGAAAGCATGTAATGATGCAACACTTGTTCAGGTAAAATATTTTTTTCCTTAATTCATTTTAGTAATTCACATGAAACAACTTGCCACTGATATAAGTGACATTCAGATTATTTTAATTAGTGCTTAATTGATAATCAAATGAACCTACATGAAAACATTTTGTAATTTGTCAAATACTTCACAGAGCACATACTTTTAAAAAACATACCATTAAAATATATGTGGAAGAGATAAATACTATAAAATATATAGATTCATATACTTGATGATTCTTTTAAAAATGTTTTAGGTATTTTTATTTATTTGAGAGAGAGCAGGAGCTCCCATCTGGTTCACTCCCTAAATTCCTGCCATGACTGGGGAGGGGCTGTGGCTGAAGTCAGGAGTCAGAAAAGCAATGTAGGTCTCCCATGTGGCTGACAGGAACCTGACTACCTGAGCTATCACCATGCTTCCCAGGGTCTGCCTGCCTGAGACAGGAGCCAGGAATCCATCCCCCACTCACTCTTATGCTTTTTTAGTAGTTTCTGAATCTTTTTTCGTAGACCTTGATTGATTTTTTAAAAATTTTTTCTTTTAGAAGGTCTTAGGAAAGTTTCATTAGTTTAATTAATATTAATGACTTTAAAGAAGTATTTTATGTACTGTACAACTATAAAACTATCTTATAGAAAAATTATGAATATTACACAGTACTAGATTTTTATTAATGGCTGGTTTTTCACTAAAGACTTTTTTTAATCTACTGATTGTTTCTAGTTTATCTTCTGAACTGTGTCTAAGGTAAAGAATAACTTTTGTCACTTTCTAAAGATCACATCAAACATGGACTCCGTGGGCCGAGTACAAATGCGAACAAGACGTACACTGAGGGGCCACCTCGCTAAGATCTATGCAATGCATTGGGGATATGACTCAAGGTTTGTCCCTGTCATTCTCAAACTGCCGGCAGAATTATTTTTGTTAAGAAGTATAATTACATTTTTTATTTAAAAACAAACTGTATGTATTGTTTTCAGAAAATGCATCCAATATGACCATTTTGTTTTCACTAAGAGTATTTTTAGCACTTTAGAAATTAAAAAATCTTTAATATAGAAAATAAATTTATCTCTCAAAAATATCCTTATCAAATGATCTGGAGAAACTTTTAGAATAAGATTCTTTTCTTTGCATTGGGGTAGTATATTCTGTTTTTTTTTTTTAATTATACCAAAAGTAGTTTTATTATTAACCCTGAAATTTAGTTAATAGGCAAATACTGATTGAATACTTTCTATGTGTAAGTTACTGGACATTGCTACAGTTATTTATTATTTAAATTCAAAAAGGATGGAATTATGTGAAACAAGGATCTTTTCATTGAATATGTCTTTTTTCTTCCCCAGCCCCAACCATAATTGCACCTGCTCAAATGTGCAGGTACTAATGTCTGCAAGTGCACGTGTGCATACATGGTGCCACCTGGCTTGGAGTTTGATTTGGGCACCACAATTTACTGTGTTCATGGGGTTCCAGTGCAGCCTGTGATGTTTACAGAGGGTCTGGAAATAGCAGCTCTGCCTGCTGCAGTGTTTGGCTTGTTGCTTTGAGTTGGTTAATCTTATTGGGAAATGTCCAAACCAAGAAACTGCTTTTTAGTAAGAATTGTACATTTAGTCTGTTCTCCAGGAGACACCAAAATTGTAAAGTAGTGGAAGCCTCAGATGTAAACAGGATACTTGAGTACAGAATGCAGAATGTGCTTCTCTTAAGAGGAGAATGCATTTTTTAAAATTAACTGTTACAAAGCTAGGACAAATACTTCATCTTTTTCTTAAAGAATTTTAAGATAAAAATAATTTGCCTGTTGATATAGCAATTTTAACTCAATTTAGAATCACTTGAAATAGTGGTTCTTGCTTTCCTAAAATTTTTCTCAAAATTATTAATCTTCATAGAAAAACAAAAGTGTGACCTAGGACCTTCTCAGCTTGTCTTCCCGCCCATTCTGATTGCCAGCTGATTACTTTACGTCCTTCTCAACTCGTATGCTGATGATGCCAACAGATCTTTAAAGAATTTTTAGTTCCATCCCTTATGCCACTATCACCTTGGGTAAAAACTTAACAGTGACTGCTACAGAAGAACCTGCTGATGTTATTCACCTGTAGGGAAAGGAACAGGGGCTGGGGATAGGCAGAGGAGGGTAATTTTTTCACTTGTGTATCCTTGTGGATCTTGAATTTTGCTCCAGCGTGAAAACTAAAGCTATAAAAGCAAAATTGGTGACTAATAAATTACATAATCAAGAGTTCGTAGTCCTTAGTCTGTAAACAGAGCTCTCTGGAGTGTAAACCCAGTCTGCTTTTCTCAGCTTGTTTTCCTTACTTCTCAGAGCTCTGTACAAGTGGAAGACTTGGAACTCCTGAAACTCCATTGTATTTTTCTATCTCCTGTCGTAGATCATTCTTACCCTCCTCCTGGAATACACACTTTTCTCCATCTTTAGCTCTCAAAATTCCATTTTTCAAGACACATCCTTGTTTTTTTACTCTCCTATGATATTTTATTTTATACCAGTCTTCTGAGAGTTTTCACTTAGTTGATTTCTTACAAATACGCATAAATGTCTTATCTGCAGCAAATGGTAGAGGTCTCAAGAGCATGAGTGTATCTTGTGTTGTACTTTTAAGGTCGATGTTTATTGACTTATTGAACTATGATTGTCAGGCCTGTATGTACTTACTGTGTTATTAAATTTAAGCAAATCAGTAAACTAGTCCACTATTATCTACCAAAATCTTGACTAATAACTAAAATGTTGTCACTACGAAAAAGTTAGATCATAACTAGGAACAATTTTGATCAGTTGCTAAGTTTTATTTTTTAATTTATGTTCAAAATTTTGGGTGTATAGTATTAATTTTTTTAAGTTGGAAGAACATTTATGGTATCAATATTTAAATTAGAAAAATTATATATGCATAACTAAGCTACTTTTTCCCTCTGTTTATCAAATAATTTTTGTGTTTGTTCCTCTAGGCTACTAGTCAGTGCTTCCCAAGATGGAAAATTAATTATTTGGGATAGCTATACAACAAATAAGGTAGAATTTCTTAATCATTCCTTTATATACTCTTAAATTTATTTACTATCCACCAATTCTTTTATTACTACAAATTTAGTTACCTTCTGGGATAAATTTATTCTATTTATTTTCATCTACATCCTCTCTTTAGTATTACTCTTAATATTTGGTATTTTTTTTATTTCCAAGGACAAACTATGGGAACATGCAATGTGTTTTGCATGAATCTTACAGCATACTTGAATAACAGAAGAGAGTACCATTTTTACATATAAATGAAAAGTTTTTTAAAAACCTCTGATTTCCTAATAATACAACGTCCCTGAGACTTTTATTTCTAGTCATGGCTGATGTGAAGCTTTTCTTTGGCTCACTGCAAGCATTGAGTCGTGTTTGTGGACTGACTGCTCACGGGGTGGATTGCAGGCAAACAGTCTTGGTGGCAAAGATTGTGGAGACTCTTAATATGTCCACTGGAAGGAATCCCTGATTTAAAGTTGTTGAGTGCAGTGAGAAGGGTTCAAGAATACTTTCATAAGTCAAATACCCTTATACTCTGTATAAACACACCAGTATTTTTATTAAATATTTGAAAATACTGTTTGTGAAATAAACAGTCTCTCAGTCTGAGATTTTAAAGCTAAGTAATATAACAGTTTTTAGAATATTAATTAGCATTAAGTATGTCTCAACTATATTTTCCTGAAACAAAAATAATTGTACTTTTAAAATACTGTTTTTAAGTGAGATCACACAAATGATCAACAGGGGCACTGTTTGGCGTATGGACTGCTCACCCTTGGTCTTCCTGCACACATTACAGTTTTCCATCTGACCTGCAGTTGAGGGCTCTTGGGGTAACCAGCCTGCAGACAGTCCTGACCAGATCAGCGCAAAACTGTCGTCATTGTTTTCATGAGATCCTAGAGTGTGTGCCTGTTAGTAGAAGGATGTTGGTGTCCTCCCTTCACAGAGGACCGTTTTAATCCCCTGTGAAACCTGTTCATCCTCTCCCTGTTTATTGCTCAGTGGTTTGCTGGGGGAAATTCCTCTTTTGAGCACTATTGCAAAAACACAGAATTTTAGTAAAATCTTTAACACTTTCCACTTAATTTTCCAAATGGCTATATTGGCATTCAAACTTCTTTATGTCCTTTCTTCTCTTAAAAGAATTATTTCTAAAAAGAGCACTTCGTAGTTCCAAAAGGTTTACTAATATGGAAAAAGTAATGGGCATTTTTATGTGATTACTATTTTATTTTTCATTGCTCATTTTCTCAAGCCATTTCATTGTTTTTATTTGGCTTGTTTTTCTTAGATGTATTTGTTAGTAATATTTACTTCATTGTAAATAGATTTTGAAAATGAATGCCTGTTCCTTTCCTTATACTAAACATGTGTGCATTGTGTGTGTTCTGCAGATGCACGCCATTCCTTTGAGGTCCTCCTGGGTGATGACATGTGCCTACGCTCCCTCTGGTAATTATGTGGCTTGTGGAGGCTTGGACAACATCTGCTCTATATATAACTTGAAAACCAGAGAGGGAAACGTGAGAGTGAGCCGAGAATTGCCGGGCCACACAGGTGAGCTTCGTTAGGTCTTACTCTCCTAGCACACTGACTCCTTCCATAGAGTGCAGTGATCAAGGACAATGAGTGAGAAATTAGGCTCTGCTGGTCAAAAGATGAATAGTCAATCAGGGAGAGTAGAAATGACTATGAATCAGGAAAACAGTTGCTTTTAATCATATGTGTGATGTCCATAATTTTACTTTTCTTTGAAAAATGGCTGTGTTGTTGGAGTGAGAATTTAGCGTAGCTAAATTTCCACATCCCACATTGGAGTACCTGGGTTTCAGTCTTCTGATTCCAGCCCTCTGCCAATGCAGGCCCTGGAAGGCAGTGAAAATCATGGCTCAGGTAATTGGGTTCTTGCTCCTCAGTGAGAGACCTGAATTGAGGTTCCGGCTCCGTGTATCAGCCCAGCCCGGTCCTGGTTGTGGTGGGCATTTGGGAGTGAATCAGTGGATGGGAGCATTCTCTCTCCCTTCTTCCCTCCTTTCTCCCCGCTCCCTTCCTCCCTTCTCCTCCTCTGCCTGTCTCTCTGATAAATTTTTAAACACTTTTCAAAATAGCAGTATTGTTTTTGTAAAAATGGTAGAATTGCAAAAATAAAGAATCCAATTAATGTACAAAAAGGAGGCAAATATAATTTCCCTTATTTTCTGCTGCCATGTAGTAGGAGATTGTGGCATCTGTGCTCAGTTATATAATTGAAAGCATTCTATTAAGATACTGATGAGGTGTTTTTCACTACGTGAGACATTTGGCTTTCTTTGCCTGTGTGTCCACCCTACTTGTACAGTGTAGTGTTTGGTTACCGGTGTTAATGGGGAGTTTATTGCCACTCATCTGATTTCCAGCCATGTGAATTTTTGGCAGTACTGTTTAACCATGCCTTTCCAAAATGTCTTGGATGATATTCTCTTGTCATTCCCATGTTTTGATACATTGATGATTGCTAAATATTTAAATGACACATCTTTCATAAAGCCTTCACTGATGTTCTTGTAATTTCTCACAGTTAATTTTAGTATTCCTCCAGGTCTTTACACAGTCTGCTGTGGATCATAGTGATTTCTGAGAAGGAATCTCTTTTGCTTATGTAATTGTCTTAGATGTCAGGGGCCATCCCAGGACAGTGTCATTGACACACTAAATGCCTAAAAATGGTTTGTTGATCAGATGCATTTGCAAACACATCAAGCTTAAAGTAATTAAAAGCAAAACTTTAGACTACACTGACAAACACTTGTTGCTTTGGCTTTTTTTTTAAGAGTTATTTTATTTATTTGAAAGAGTTACAGAGAGAGGTAGAGACATAGAGGTCTTCCATCCTCTGGTTCACTACGCAGATGGCCACAATAGCTGGAGCTGTGCCAATTTGAAGCCAGGAGCTTCTTCTGGGTCTCCCATGTGGGTGCAGGGGCCCAAGGAATTGGGCCATCTTCTGCTGCTTCCCAGGCCATAGCAGAGAGCTGGATGGGAAGAGGAGCAGCCAGGACTAGAACCAGCACCCATATGGGATGCTGGCATTTCAGGCCAGGGCTTTAACTCATTCTGCCACAGCACCGGCCCCTGGCATTGTATTTTTAAACAGATGTATTATTATTTCATATGGTAATTGAGTCATCTGATCACTGTTAACCTAAATATTCCTGTTCTCTCTCTGTAGGCTACTTGTCCTGCTGTCGTTTTTTAGATGACAGCCAAATTGTTACAAGTTCAGGAGATACAACTTGGTGAGTTTATTCCAGAACGCTGTTTTGGGAGTTAAGGGTACTAGTAGGAGCTAAGGTAAGAAGAGAGAATCGTCATTAAGTATTTTTATTTATTTTTTATTACAGTGCATTGTGGGACATTGAAACTGGCCAGCAGACCACCACATTCACTGGGCACTCTGGAGACGTGATGAGCCTTTCCCTGAGTCCTGACATGAGGACTTTTGTGTCTGGTGCTTGCGATGCCTCTTCCAAATTATGGGATATTCGAGATGGGATGTGTAGGCAGTCTTTCACAGGACACGTTTCAGATATTAATGCTGTCAGCGTAAGTGAATAGCATTTCCAAAGAAGCTTTATTTTGCTTTTAAAACTGTTGAAGTCTATGGCATGGTTTTAGCAACAAAATGCCTTTATGGAAATTCTTATTATGTACTAATTTACATTGACTGTCAAATGAAAAGGAGATTTTTTAAGTTTTGACTAATTATAAGCTAGGTCTTTATTTTCAGTTGGACAGTAAGTTTTATTCCCCACATTAGAAGGATAGATCATCTTGAGCAAACAGGCAGATCATAGATGTCCACACCAGTGTGTTCAGAAGAGAAAAAGGTCCTAACCTCTAGGGGAAAGGAGATAGCAATGCAATTGGACACATGAAGGGAGAAAAAGGCAGCAGTGTAGCCTCTAGAGTAAGGCTTTTGAGCTTAAGCAAACCTGGAATCAAAGCCTGATTCTCGAGTGAAATAGCTATGTGAGGCTGCTCAGGCTGCTAGGTAGCCTTTGTGAGCCTCAGATACTCTGTTTTTAAAAGGGGATAATAATGGGGCTGGTGCTGTGGTGTAGTGGGTAAGGCCGCTGCCTGTGGTGCTGGCATCCCATGTGGGCGCCGGTTAGAGTCCTGGCTGCTGCACTTCTGATCTAGCTCTCTGCTATGGCCTGGGAAAGAAGTACAAGATGGCCCAAGTCCTTGGGCCCCTGCACCTGCGTGGGAGACCCAGAAGAAGCTCCAGGCTCCTGGCTTCGGATCGGCACAGCTCCGGCCGTTGCGGCCAATTGGGGAGTGAACCATTGGATGGAAGACCTCTCTCTCTCTCTGCCTCTCCTTCTCTCTCTGTGTAACTGTGACTTTCAAATAAATACATAAATAAAGATTTATGTATTTATTTGACAGGTAGAGTTAGAGACAGAGAGAAAGGTCTTCCTTCTGTTGCTTCACTCCCCAAAATGGCCGCAACAGCCGGAACTGTGCTGATCCGAGGCCAGGAGCCAGGTACCCCCTCCTGGTCTCCCATGCGGGTGCAGGGCCCAAGCACTTGGGCCGTCCTCCATTGCACTCTCGGGCCACAGCAGAGAGCTGGACTGGAAGAGGAGCAACCGGGATAGAATCCGGCGCCCCCACCAGGATTAGAACCTGGGGTGCTGGCACTGCAGGTGGAGGATTAGCCTATTGAGCCACGGTGCTGGCCTGATTTTATATTTTTAAGTTTTTTTAAATCAAGAATAGATATTTGATTTCATTTTTCTAGTTTTTTTTTTTTTTTAAATCAGTGGGTGTTTGGAGTTTCTTTATTAAAATGTAATAAAAACTGGGCTTCTTTTTGAAATCAAAAGGTTTAAGTATAGTATTATAATTGTTTCTTTTTTCTCCAAATGATCAGCTTACTGATAATTTGCATTTTTAAATTATATTCAGTAATAATTTTACTTTCACAGTGAAATTTCTTTATTTTTTAAGATTTATTTATCTATTTGAAAGACAGTTACAGAGAGGCAGAGAGAAAGAGAGAGAGAGAGAGAGAGAGGTCTTCCATCCTTTAGTTCACTCCCCAAATGGCCACAATGGCTGGAGCTGAGCCGATCTGAAGGTATGAGCCAGGATCTTCTTCTGGGTCTCCCACATGGGTACAGAGGCACAAGGACTTGGGCCATCTTCCACAGCTTTCTGAGGCCACAGCAGAGAGCTGGATCGGAAGTGGAGCAGCCGGGACTCAAACCAGTGCCTATATGGGATGCCAGCACCACAGGTGGCAGCTTTATCTGCTATGCCACAGCACCAGCCCCGCACAGTGAAATTTCTCACACTGTTAAGAATTTAAGGCTTAAAAATCAAGCCATCATAGATTCATTTGCCGTTGAGTCTCATATAAAACTGTTCATTCATTAAGTGAAATTTTTCACTGGGTTCAATATTTATTTGTGGGGCCTTCAGTGTCTCTAAGCAGTGAAAACATTATTAATAATTGTTAAATGTGATTATTCAACTAGGCCAAATTCAGCCCTTTCTATGATAGATCAAAACTCTGGATATAATTAACAAAAATTCTATTATGAGTATATAATGTGATATTTAAGTTGATAAGAATATATACATTATGGGCCAGCGCCGCGGCTCACTAGGCTAATCCTCCGCCTGCGTTGCCAGCACCCCGGGTTCTAGTCCTGGTTGGGGTGCTGGTTCTGTCCTAGTTGCTCCTCTTCCAGTCCAGCTCTTTGCTGTGGCCCAGGAGTGCAGTGGAGGATGGCCCAAGTGCTTGGGCCCTGCACCCACATGGGAGACCAGGAGGAAGCACCTGGCTCCTGGCTTCAGATCGGCACAGCGCACTGGCTGCAGAAGCCATTTGAGGGGTGAATCAACGGAAGGAAGACCTTTCTCTCTGTCTCTCTCACTGTCTAACTCTGCCTGTCAAAAAAAAAAAAAAGAAAAAGAATATATACATTGTGAAATTATTAAATCATGCTAATTAACAAATCTATCACTGATGTTCAAATATTTACCCAATCCTGCATTTCTGGAACAAATTTCATGCAGTAATTCATTATCTATTTTATATAAAAGGGATCTTTTTAAAGTTCATGGAGAATGAATATTATGAAAAACTATGCATGGATTTCAGTTTTTTTTTGCACCAAAATAAACCTCCCCCCTTTTTTTAGTGTTTATTCATTTGTTATTTGTAAGGCAGAATGAGAGAGGGAGAGACAGATAAAAGATTTTCTATCTGCTGGTTCACTGCCCAAATGGTCACAATAACCAAGGCTGGGCCTGGCCAAAACCAAGAGCCTGGAACTCAATCCAAGTCTCCTTGGTGGATGCAGGGGTTCAAGTACTGAGCCCATCTTCTACTGCATTCCTAGGTGTGTTAGCAGGGAGCTGGATCATAAGCAGAACAGCCAGGACTCAAACCAGCTCTCTGATAATGGGATGCTAGCATTGAAAGCCAAAGTTTAGCCTGTTTTACCACAATTCAGGCCCCATAAACTTACCTGTTAATTCCATTTTTCCATGACCTTTTTGAACTATTCTTGTATTGGTGGATTTGATTTGCTAAGATTATTTGAGAAGTTTTACATCTGTATCCATAAAGGTTATTGTTCCATTTTTCATGTTCTTGAAATGTTTTGTCTGGCTCTGGTTCATTTGAATGTTGTACTTAAAGGAAGAGTTGAGAAATACTCCTTCCCCTTTAGTTTTCTGGAAGAATTTTTGTAGAATTGGTATTACTTCTTTAAAAATTTTGTTCTGTTCACCTGTAATGCTGTCTGGCCATAGAATTTCCTTTGAGAGGAATAACTACACATGTAATGTCTTATTACACATAGGGCTATTTAGGTTATCCATTTCTTTTGATTAAGCTTTGATAGTCTGTGTCTTTTTTTTAATGTCTTTTTTTAAGATTTATTTTATTTATTTCAAAGAATTACAGAGAGAGGTAGAGACAGAGAGAGAGGTCTTCCATCTGCTGGTTCACTCCCCAGATGGCCACAATGGCCAGAGCTGCGCCGATCTGAAGGCAAGAGCCAGGAGCTTCTTCCGGGTCTCCCGCTTGGGTGCAGGGGCCGAAGGACTTGAGCTATCTTCTACTGCTTTCCCAGGCCATAGAAGAGAGCTGGATGGGAAGAGGAGCAGCCAGGACTACAACTGGCACCCATATGGGATGCTGGTGCTTCAGGCCAGGGCTTTAACCCGCTGTGCCACAGTGCTGGCCCCAGATAGTGTATATATTTTTAAAGATTTATTTATTGGAGCCTGTACTGTGGTGTAGAAGGTTAAGCCAGTCTGGTCATTGAACCAGTGGATGAAAGATTGATCTCTTGATCTCAGTCTCTTTTTTTCTCTCTCTCTCCCACCCCCCCCCCCTTCTCTCTTTGTATTTCTGCCTTTCAAATAAATAAATAAATCTTAAAAAAAAAAAAAAAAAAAGGTTGTTTACTTGAAAGGCAGAGTTAGAGCATTAGAGAGCATGTGCTTCCATCTGCTGATTCGTTCCCCAATTGGCCACAATGGCCAGAGCCAGAGCAGGCCAGAGTCAGGAGCCAGAAACTCCAGCTGAGTCTTCCATGTGAGTGCAGAGGCTCAGGCACTTGGGCCATCTTCTGCTGCTTTCCCAGCTGCATTTAGCTGGGAGCTGGGTCGGAAGTGGAGCAGCCAGGAATCAAACCAAGTGTGACATGGGATGCTGGTGTCACAAGTGGTAGCTTAACTTGCAGCACCACAACACCAGCCACCCTTTTTTTTTTTTTTCAATTTCTTAAGGTAGAGTTTATGTCATTAATTTGAAACTTTTTTCTTTTCTAATACTCTAAACATTATGCATCCTGATACATTGTGATGTGTTTTCATTTTCGTTCACTTCAGAATTCTGATTTTCCTTTGGGTTTTATCTTTGGCCCATAAGCTATCTACATACTTATGGGACACTGTGTGTTGCTTTGTTACATGTATACATTATGTAAATTATCATCAGAGCAAACTTATTTATCCTTTTAAGCATTTAACATTTCTTTGTAGTGAAAATATCCAAAATCCTATCTTTAGTTTTTTTTTTTTAAGAGAAATATGTAGTACATTATCTATAGTCACCCTGCTGTGCAGAACCCCAAACTTCTTACTCTTATCTCACTACAACCCATCAACCTTTCCCTATCCCTACCTCTCCATGTCTTCCCCTCTCCCACCAGGTTATGGGAACCACCATTTATTTATTTATTTATTTCCTTCCCTCCCTCCCTTCTTTCCTCCCTTCTTTCCTTCCTTCCATTTATTCATTTAAAAGAGTTACAGAGAGGCAGAGGCAGAAAGAGAGAGAGAGGTCTAACATCCCCTGGTTCACTCCCCAAAATGGCTGCAACAGCCAGAGCTGGGCCAATCCGGAGCCAGGAGCTTCTTCCAGGTCTCCCATGCAAGTGCAGAGGGCCAACCACTTGGGCCATCTTACACTGCTTTCCCTGGCCACAACAGAGAGTTGGATTAGAAGTAGAACACCTGGGACTTGAACTGGCACCCATATGGGATGCTGGCACTGCAGCCAGTGGCCTTATCCACTA